CTAAACTGACAGTCAGGAGTAAGAGAAAAACAAAAAAAATTCCCAGATTAGCATGGAAGAATCTGTCACTTACAGATGTTAGGTAAAAAATGATTAAATAATACATTTCAGAAAGCAAGAAATTGGATCCAGAAGAAAGGACTATGATATAAAAATGTGATGACAAACAAAAAACCTGACAATGTTTAGTAAATCTAAATAGCCATAAAGTTTTAAAGATATTTTAAAAGGCTAGTATTGCAGGAGATTTTTAAAAAGATGGTACTAAAATGTTATTTAAAAAAAAAAAACCAAAACAGTGAAATAAAGAAAACAATACCACAGAAGGCAGCAAAGTAAGGATAAATACAAAACCATATAGTAGAAATAATAAACCTAGATTTAAGTACATAGAACTCATACAAATATTGTCATAGCTATCAAAACAAAACAAAATATAGCTTATACTGTTTTATGAAAAGAACAAACACTTAATGGCATTTTTATGTGAAAAAAAATGATGATAAAGTTAATTCCAGGAAAATCCTAATCAAAACTGAGCTAGTAATATTAATATCGGAAAACAGGCTTTAAGGTAAAAGGTAAAAAGAATAAGAGTTAATTATTCAATGATAGAGGGAATATCCAGCAAGAAGAATCTATAGTCCTCTGTCTGGAGGTATCAAATGACAGAGACTCAAAGTATATAAAGCAATCCTGGACAAAATTATACAGATAAATACACAAATTTATAATCAGGATCATTCACTCGGATACCTTCTGTGAGCAACTGCTAGACCAAATAGAGAAAATTAAGATTCAGAAATCTAAAAAGACATCCAACCAAATCTAGTGAATTTATACATTAGCATTACTATAAGTAGAGTATACATCATTTTTGGAAAAAGTATCAGCAAGTATAAAGAATCAATGCTGATAGATTGCATTCTCAGGTTATAGGGCAAGAAATACCTTATAAGTAGAAAATATGTTTTAAACAACTCAAAGAAAGCAAATGAAAATTGCTAAATATTTAAAACTACAGTGCAAGCATTCTGTATCACAACTTGAACATATCTAAAAATATAATTAGTGTAACATTTGTAGGCCTAAGTATAAAAGTAAAAAGCTAGACTGAAAATTAGTGATTTAAACATTCTAATTTTAGAAGTTAAAAAAGGAATGAGCAAATTCTAAGGAAATATGTTTGATGATAATAAAAATAAAAACAAGTTAATGGAATGGAAATCAAAGAAACTATAAAGATCAGCTAAATCAAAAACTAGTTTTATGAAAGATGAATTTAAAAGTAGATAAATTTCTAGCAAGATTCACCAACATGAAAAGTCATAATTAAATAATATGTACAGAAAGAAAGGGATCACAACACAGAGAGGTAGGATTTAAACAAAACCATAAGTAAATAACATTGAAAACTTTATCCCAGATAATATAAAAGCTTAGGTCAAATAGAAATTTTCTAAAGAAATATATATAAACATAATTTACCCCCAAAAGAAAGAAAACCCAGGTAGAATTGTTACAATTAAAATAGCTGATTTAGTAATAAAAACCCTACATGTAAATGCTACATACTAATTATCTTCCATGTGACAATAGCTAAAACTATGATGGAAAGGATAAACAATTTTAGGATAGTGTTAATGAAATATAACTTACATATTTTTTTCTTTCATGGATTATGCTCTTGATAATGTATCTAAAACCTCCTGCCAACACTCAAGACCAGTTAGACTTTCTTCAGTTATCTTTTAGAAGTTTTATAGTTTCACATTTTACATTAAGTCTATGATCCATTTTGATAAAAATTTTGTGAAAGATGGCATTCTGCCTAGATTCATTTTTTGTTTATGATGTCTAGCAACATTTGTTGACAAAGTTAGCCTTTCTCCACTGAATTATACTTGATCCTTTGTCAAAGGTAATTTAACTGTTCTTGTGTGGGTCTATTAATGAACTCTATTCATCTATTTTTCTATTTTGGGAGGTGAGCAATGGCATTTCCCCGTTGCTTTATTTGTGTTTCTCTGATTACTAATACGTTGAGTGTTTTCAAGTGTATACTGCCTGTACAGCAGCTTCTTTTATGATGTATTTGTTCAAGTCTATGTCATTTACAAAAGCAGGCTGTTTGTACCTTATTATTAGCGTGTATTCTTTATAATTTACAAGTTATAATTCTAACTTACAATTAGGTTTACAATTGTAATTTATACTTCTGCGTGCAATTCTTTTGTCAAATATATTTGCATTTATATAATATTGTAGCTCAGAATATGGCTTCTATTTTTATTTTTTTAAATGGTTTTTTTGGTCAGCAGCAGTTTTAAATATTAATTGAATTGAATTTATAAGATTATGTTTTATGCTTATTACTTTCTTTTGTCCTTTAAAAAATCTTTGTTCCAAAGTCGCAAATGCATTCTTCTATATTTTCTCTCAGAAGCTTCATGCTTTGTAGTTTTGTTTGTAGGCCTATGATCCATCTCAAATTGAGTATTAAGGGCAAAAGATTTATCTAGTTAGTGCAGCACATTTTCTTTTAAAAAATTTTGCTTTCTCAATTCAGTAGTCTTAACAACTTTTTAAAATATCAACTGTTTTATCTTTGTGGTGCTGGGAATTGAACCCAGGGCCTTAACACATGCTAGGCCAAGTGTTCTACCACTGAGCTAGGTACCCAGCCCTGTTTATCTATTTTTAAACTCTTCATTCTGTTTCATTGATGTATTTATTTTTATGCTGATTCCATTCTTTCTTCACTGATATGGCTTTACAGTAAGTCACAGTTATTAATGTGTGTCATTAAACTCTATTTTTCAAAAAAAGTTTGATTTGGTTTTTCCAAGTTTTTTTCATTTCCACAAAAATTTAGAATCAACTTATAAATTTCTACAGAAAGCAATATTTTGTCTTTGAATTTTAAATGTGGCAATTTGAGGAGAAAAGACATTTTAACAGATGAGCCTTTCACCAATACATGCCATATATCTTCTTTGGTTTAATTGAAAATCTCAGTAATGAGGACTTGCTCAGATTTTGCTAATTTGTTTCCAAGAGTTTTATGATTTTTTTCATGTAATTTAAATGGGAATTATTTTATAATTTTATTTTCCAATTGTTGCTAACATGGGTAAGTAAATATGATTTTGTACCACATAATTTGCTAAATTTATTTATTAATTCCAGTAGCTTTATTTGAGACAACTTGAAATTTTCAGTGGATTTGATTATCTGAAGCAAAAGATAGTTTGATTCTATCTTTTCTCTTTCTTTTTCTTTTTTTATAATTGTGCCATTTTTTAATAACCGGTGTCCCATTCTTTTCCCTTTCTTTAGTTTAAGCCTTTTCTTTCTTGCCTGTGGCACTAGCTAATAACTCAATACAATGCTGAAAAGAAGTGGTTAGTGAAATTATTTTGAGATTTTTGTCTTGTCAGATTTAGGGGGAAAACATTCAATATAGCACTAAGAAATATGATGTTGATGGTAGGTTCTTCTTAGGTGATTTTTTTTATCAGTTTGAAAAAATTCCCTTGTCCTCCTTGTTTGTGAGAGGTATTTTTTTTTAATGTTAAATGCTTTTTTGCACCCAGAATTTAATAAGATGATCAGATGGATTTCCTGCTTTATCCTGACATATGGCAGATTAAATTAATTGATTTTCTATTGTTAAACCAATCTTACATTTCTGGGATAAATCTTACTTGATCATGTTACATTATCAGTTTTATATATTGCTGGATTTGATTTGTTTTTATTTTGAAGTATTTTTTCATCTATGTAAATGAGGCTTATTGGCCTATAATTTTTTCTTGTAATATCTTTGACAGATTTTTTTGTATCAAAGTTATCCTAGCATTGTAAAATGATGTGAAATTTTTCTCCATTTCTTTATTTTCTGGAAGGGTTTGTAGAACAGTGTAATTATTCCTTCCTAATTCGCTGCTTTCAAGATTTTCTCATCTTTGAGTCTGACCATAATCTGCTAAGCAAAGTTTTTCTTTGCATTGATTTTTCTTGTGATATGTTGATCTTAGATCTCTAAGCTAAGATTTTTAACCACATTTGAGGAATTTTGACAACAATTTCTTTGGATATTTCTTCTTTCCTATTCTTTATGTTTTTGCATTGTGTAAGTGACTCTATTTGCATATATGTTGAACTATTTGCTATTGTCCATTGGTGCTTAAAGTTCCCTTTACTTTTTTAAATCATTTTCCTCTCTATATATTTGAAAGTATAGACTTTGAGCCTCTTTCTTTGTCTCTCTCCATTCTGGGATATCCCCCTTTAATTCCCTATTTCTCTGATATCCCTAAACAGTTTCCTCTCACACCTTGATTAGGTAAGGCTCCACTTTATTCCTTCAGGAATAAATCTCCATGACTTGCTCGATACATCCCTTCACAGTCCAGTCTATGTTCTGCTGCTGTTCCACATAGAAACAACATATATTATATGTTAAACTCTTCTCTTCATCAGAACTTTTGTGCTTTTGTGATTTTGCCTACTTGGGTCATCCATTTTTACCTGGCTTTTCTGGATTTAATATTATATTCTAATGAAAATACCATTTCTTCTGGAAGGTCTTCTTTGGCTAGGTTACCTCTATCCTCAGTCTCTCCTCTTTGCCTTCTCACTAGTGTCTTAGAAGTATGCATGTACTTGACTTGGTCTGTCTGTTTGTCTACCTATTATCTACCTCTCATCTGTATAATCTCCCCTTTCTTAAGGGATTCAAATCTCCTTAGTCAAGGTGTTGTGTCCTTCAAATACATCTTTTTCATATCCATAACATCTAATAGACATTGTATACCTGTGTACACTGAGAATATTCTCAGTGTATATTTTGCTAGTGATAATATTACAAAGGCTATTTCTCAGCAATGATATTCAAAGTAATGATTTTGCATACAGAAGTTAAATGGCCATAGACTTGACAGGAGAAACTCATCAGGCAGTTCCCATGCTATTCTTTCATTTATTTCTTTCCTTAGGAACATCTGCTCCCCCATCAAGTACCCCTATTGAGTTCTGCAGGAATGGTGGAACCTGGGAAAATGGCAGATGTATTTGTACAGAAGAATGGAAAGGGCTGAGATGTACAATTGGTAAGTTACTTGGGGTAATACGAGTGTGAGGTTAGGTGACCCTTCTGTTAATAAGAGCAGCAGCAAAGCTTCTAGAAGCTTCAGTTAATAATTACAGAAACACTGGGCATAATAGTGATAGCATAAAGATGTGTTTACTAAATCTGTAGCCACAGCCACGTTTTCTTCTTGGGATTTGAATAATCAAGACATTTTGTCTGTTTCCTATCAAGTTTTTTCTCTATAAACTCAAATATGTATTTTCTTCTGGCCAAGTCTCTAATCTAGAGTAATGTGCAATATGATTCCCTACGGTCCTTTCATTTGGTGATATATACCATATTATCTCATTTTAAATGTTGCAACTTTACATATTTAACTATTCCAAAACCAAGAGACATCATCATAAATATAAATTTATATGAAGTTTTTTTTTCTTCTTCCTTTCCCTCAAAGAGTTAAATTAGTGGTTTGACTTCAATCAATGGTGTCTCAGAATCCATATTCAAGGCAGTGTGTTGATATGAGGTGTACTTCCCAACACTCTCTACACTTCATGCTGGATGCTTGGGATCCAGAACCCTATTGTCCCTCTCATAATTTCATGATTTTTGCCTTTTGTTTTGACCCACATCCTCTTGATGCCCTTTGTCACGTTAGACTGTATATTTTTACTTCTCTAGATTCTAACAATCCTTGTTGGTATAATATTGGCCACATTCCACCTCTACCCAGCTATGTATTGTGCCCATTTTGACTGAAATCAATTATCTGATGTACTGTTTATTCTAATGGCAATAACTTAGCCAGAAAGGAATGTATGGAAGTTCCAGCAGCCCTGTGGATTTGACAAGCCTTCTATTAACCTTCATAGGTTACATTGCATAGGTTTTGAATTTCACCTTTTATCTGCTTTCTTTTCTTTAAAAAAAAGTGTAATTTATAATGAGGAAATGTTTTTGTTTTTCCATTATAGCTAATTTCTGTGAAAAAGGTACATCTGGCATATATACTTTTGGCAGAATTGCAGTGGGAAGATATGGACCTTCTTTGCAAACATGTGACAAGGACACTCTAAATGGTATTTTTTTCCCCAAAAATCCCCTCTGTTTAGATATTAGAATTAGTATGCTGAGTCATACTAATTCAACTAATGTTGAGTCCCTGGTAGTGGGAAGGCTTCATTCCTTTTCATGATGTTAAAGTTTAAAGTGTGTGGTAGTATTTCACATAATCATAATTTTTCTAAAAACCATAATATGGATTAGTTGTTTGTGAATTCCTCTTGATCATTACTTAAACTGACTTCTTTTATTTACTAGAATTTAATCAGGTGAGTATTTGCTGAGTTATATAATTTATCTCAATTTTTAAAATTAGTCTTCATTATAGACTAACCGCATACCATTTCAGACTGCATCTTTTCAAGCAGAAATGAAATCGGTTAAGTCTGTTTATTATTGGTATTCCTTTATGTCTTTGGTCATTTTAGTTATCCATCTTAAAACATCACCTAGTTTCACCATGTTTCTCCTGGCATAGAGACTTCTCAGGAATGAAAGAGAAAATAATATTTTCCATTTGCAATGTGTTCCTGCATGTTCCAGGATGTTGGTGACTCATTTTATTTCAGACCACATTGGCTAACATGTTCTAAGAATAACCTTTGGAAATGCATAGATTGCTTTCCTGTTAACTAGAGACTATTTTGCCTGTTTCTGATTTGCATTGACTATTATCTCAGCAATCTTGCAGTTAATTCCACATGTCTTACAGAACTGGATTGCTTAAGAATGGAATCAATTCTGTGTCATTTACAAAAAAAATGTTTTGTAGAACTACTGCCAGTAATAAATCAATGATGATTCTAAGGAGAATTTAACATTTTATTTAGATATTTACTTTTTGTGCATGCCAAGGGTACTTTGAAATGCTAAATAAATTATGTGATTGCTCTTTCCTATGTGCTTCTTTCCCTTTTTTATTCTAAGTGATTACTCAAGTATTCATGATCCTATTTATTACATGTGTCCTTCCAGCCTCAAGATTAATAGCTCAAGAAGTGAGAAGGAGGTTTTGATTATATTTGCATTTACTATACATAGCACATATACAATAGTACACTTATAGTGTATGTATGGTGCCTGTTGGCTTAATTTCATGTTTTTTACATCTGAAATATTTCATAATGATTCATAAAATAGGTGCAATTTACAAAACATAACTGTGTGCTATGAGTTAGGAGAAGTAAAAAGGTCAGTAATGCCTCCATGGAGGTTATCACACCGATGAGATATATATTATTTTTGTAGAACAAGAGAATCTCCATCTTTTACTTGGTTATTCATTTCTATTTTCTGAGAAACTATTGTAACAATATGCTTATTATATTTCCTTTTGAATTTCAGGTTGAGCCAACAATATAATTTTAAAGATAATGTATTAACTGTGGGTAAATTTGCATTTATCAACATGTAGTTTAACATTCAGTAAGAATTTTTCATACTATTCCTAGTCTTGTATTTCTATCATAGCCAATTCAAACTCATTTTGTTCTTAATTGTTGTAAGATAAATCTTCCTCATAGACATAAAGAGAAGGAAAAATTGACTAAAACTGGTCATTTGAACCTCAGGCTAAAAAAGTCAAGATAAGTGATTGCTGCATAAAATATTGTTGTGGTAACTGACTTACTTTTCCTTTACTGTTATTGGCCTAAAGCAATAATGGTTTAGATTTCTCACAGGACTGTGGGTTGACTGTGGCAACTAAGCTGTGCTGGGAAGTTCAAAACATCTTGCTCGCAGGTTTGGAAGCATGGGTGCTGACTATTAGCTACATCACTGTAACTGTCCTCTACATGGTCTGTCCTCCAATGGGTTAGAACAGCTTCTTTACTTTAAAAAATTTTAGCATAAATTAATTGTACAAGGGGGTTTTATTGTGACATTTGCGTACATGCATATAATGTACATTGTTGAAATTCACCATCTTCCCTCTCGTTTTTAACATTTTAGTGGATTTCATTGTGTATTTTCATACATACATACATATAATGATTATGTTTTTTTTCGTATATATATATATATGTATATATATGCATATATGTATATATGCAATGTAGACCTGTTTCTTCACATGATAGTCTCAGGAAAGCATTCTGTGAGGGTGAAGCCTGAAACTTCAAGGCGTCATGAGGCCTAAGCTCTAACTCACACATTTCTACCACATTACTGCTCAGTCAGTGACAGGTCAGCCCAGATTCACAAAGTGGAGGAATAGATTCCACTCCTGATGGGAGGAGCAGCAGAGTCACATTGGGATGGAGCATGTGAACAGGTGCAGCAGTCGCTATGGAGGTCTTGTTTTAAACCCTGTTTTGTTTTCATTTTTTCTCTTTATTAAAGCTGGCAATCCAATAGCAACCGTGCTGTGTGGTTTCTCTCAATATGGAGAGATAGAATTACAGAATGTGTCAGTAGGAAATTGCAATGAAAATCTGGAAACCCTGGAGAAGCAGGTATGCCCTAGGATCCATCTGATGGGCAAGAAGTTCTGAGTCTTGTTCTGGTAGTAAATTAATGCTTTAAAAACTTTCAAATTATAAGTAACATAACCAAAAACTAAAACCAGTCTTATTGTTTTAGCAAACATCAGCAAATTATAATCTAGAAATCATTTTAAATGGTGTTATCTTTTTAGAACAGTGAAATTTTGACTGAAAATACATCTGTGACATTGGAGACCAAAGAAAGCCTTTTGGTGGTCCACGGGATTAAAATGATGGGGAAAAGCACCATGACTACGGAGCCCTACAGACAGGAAACTCCAGATCTGATGCTGGGTGTCAGGGTTGAATCCATGAGCTGGTGAAATGGGAAGGACATATTTTTTTCATGCAGATTAAGTTATTTTGACTGAGGATGTAGGCAAATGTGTGTCCATGGAAAAGCTTATATCAAGGGCGGAAGAAGGAATTTACTTTAATGTAGATATCATTGTGTGTGCCAGGCATGTTTCATAGTTCTCGTTTAACCTTCAATAAATGCCTGTGAGTTAGCTGTCATTTCCATGTTAAGGATAGTTACTGCTAATAATACTTGCTGATTGATGGACACTGTGAAATACAGATGCTCCTGAACTTACAATGGAGTTATGTCTTGACGAAGCCATTGTAAGCTGAAAATGCATTTAGCTCACCTAACCCATCTGACATCAGCACAGTGCACTTTAAAGTCACCAATTACTTATTCTCATCATTGTGTAGCAAACAGAGCTGTCATTTGCTGCTGCTGTCCAATCTCATGAGAGAACAGTGTATTACATATTGCTAACCTAGGAAAAGATAAAAATTAATCATTGAAAATTAGTTAATATTTAATAGTGAATATCACTTTTGTACCATTGTAATGTCCAAAAATAAGTCAAACCATAGTAAGTTGGGACCTTGTCTATACTGTATATAACACTTTACACACACTAATAGCTTCTTTAAGCATATTTAATTCTCAGTCACCAAGGTAAGTGTGAATGTACCTATTTTATAGGAAAATATAACCTCCTCAACAAGTGAAGTGTTTTACCTAGTGATCACAGCCGAAAAGTATGGAGCTGCTCTTGATTTTAAAAACCACATTGTATTGCGGACTCCATAATCACAGATGGTCAGGGAGTGGGGGTGGTGGTGTTGGAAGTCCAGGATGTGTGAGTGGCTGCAATCACACAGACTACAAGAAAAAAAATACAGATTCTGAAGTCAGATCAGGCAGTGTGTGACAATTAGCTCTGCCTCTTCCAAGCTGTGCAGACTTTGGGTGAGCTCCTTAACCTCTCTGAGCCTTTAGGTGAGCATGAATATGCTCAACTCACAATGCTGTTTTACTACTACATATGCTAACACCTATATATAGCAGGATCTGGCTATTGAATGAGACAGGCATTTCTGTCTGATTGAATATTGCTTCTGACTTTCCCAAGCATGAATATTAGTTTGATTTTTGAAATGATGCTGCCATCTAGTGAAAACCTAAGCTTTCCCCAACACTGACACCCACTGCAGAGTTAGCATATTTTAGTCTCACAATACAGAGCCCTGGGGCCTATTGTTACTTGGAGATATTATCTAAACTAGTGTTCCACAAACTATCTGTACTGAAAATCCATTACAGACCAATAGTTTTGTAAAATACAATAAAAACAAATTACTAAAAAATAAAAGAAATAAAATGCAAAGCCATAATTTTACTATTATTATACCCAATAGTATAAAATTGCTGTGTAAATTTCTAAGCACTTAACTCTCAATTTCTGTGCTTATCTCCCCATGGGTTTTGTAACCGTGAACCAGGTTGGTCCATCCCTACGCTTTGAGTAGCTCTGATCTCCTTAAGTCAGACCATTAATCAATCCTGGCAAACAGTAAAGACTGCGAAATCCACTGGCCTGCATGTAGTGTGTCATTAACACAAGGAAACAAGCAAACATGAAAAGCTGAGTGGGTGTGATGTCCAAGAGACTAATTGAGGCTCAGCCAAATTTCAGTTTGTTCACTGACAGTTGCTTACAGCATGTTCAGCTATAGTTGTGTAAAGTTAGTTTTTTCTTTTAATTCTTAAACAGATAAACAATTTCACAGCAGAATTTAAAAATATTTCTGCAGAAGCTCAGATTTTAACATCTGATAGCAGTAAATTAACTGCTGACAATATCACTTCTGCTGCTAAAGTGGTTACGCAGATCTTCAATGAATCCAGAGATGTTGAACCTGAGGTAAACTCAAGACTTAAGTGGGGGCGGGAAGTAGCTCACTGAGAGCATTTGCCTAGCATGTGTGAGGCTTTGAATTTGATTCCCAACACCACAATTAAAAGGTGGGTTGTGTGGAGAAGAGAAAGACATCCCAAATTTTAGCCTTATCTCATGAAATGGTTTGGGGATAGTTTAAATTGCTTTACACCCATTTGGCAGAGTACTCCTGAGAGGTACTCAAAGAAACTGCCAATGGGGTTCTTGTCCAAATGTCCTGTCTTAGGGCAGTCACACTGATCATTACTATATTCAATCTTCCAGAAAGTACTAGAATGAGTAAGTTTCTTTTACTTTATTTTCTTACCAGTTATATTTGAACTTAATATCCCTGTTCTATTCCAACTAAGCAGTGCTCCAAAGAATTCACTCTGGAACTGTGTCAGGAAGGGAGATAATGAGAAACAATGAGTGCAACAGTGAAATGAAAACCGGATTTGAGTAATGTAAACTAGTAGGATGTGGGGCTAGACAAGAGAAGGGTCACCTCGCCCCAGAGGATAAAACAGCCAATGAAATAATATGTGACCCTGTATGGGACAGGCTGTACCCCCCATTTCCATAACCTGCTGTAAATGGTATATAAGGAAAGCCCCCTTTGTTCTCGGGGCTCAGCTTTTGGACTCGAGTCCGCTGAGTCACTGCCAGCCTGCTTAATAAACTTGCTTCCTGAAAACTTTGGTGCCCCCTCTCTCTGTCTGAGCCATCCTACAACAGAAACTTTTACCTTAGATGCCGGTATTTTTGTGCTAAGCATGTGTGCAGTTTTTTTTTTTTGGCTGGAAAACTTTAAGCCTAGTTTACATTTTTGATATCATAAACCTGCTAAGCTCTGATACCTGCAAATAAGAAGTATACTCACATTTACCAATGATAACCAGTGAGTTATTGGTCAAGCAAGTTGGTTAACCAGCAATATGCACTGACCTAGAGTCTATCGATTGAATATAACCATGATTTCTTTCTTTTATTTCCTTTAAATGTCTTATTTTATATTACCAAAGGTCATTTGAAGTCACAAGCTAATGAAAATGGAATTGAAAGAGAAAAAGAGGAACCTCCAAATGTGGAATTTATAGTTATATTGGCCAGTAAAGACAGATAGTAATCAAATGCTGAGGGATCATCCTTCTGACATACTATAGAGTTTTTATTTTAGGAAAACTGCAGATAATTTTACTGTCTAAAAGTTATATAAATACATCTAATAAATTATGCTAATTACTGTGAGCTATAATAGTTTAACAACCAGCCTTACACTGTTCTTATTTTGGTTCTACTTTTGTATCCAAGCATTTGTGGTTATGTTTTTAGGGGGCATGGTATTCTACAAAAGATCTTTTTATGAGGTCATATACAGAGGGTTGAGCCTCCTAATTCATTAGCTTAATTTGTATTTTTCCTTTCTTGATTCTCTCTGCCATCATATGTAGGTCATAAATTAAAAACACTGATTTTGAAAAATCCTTGCCTTTGGACCATCATTCCAATTTTGCCTCTTATTACCATAATAATTCATCATGATGATGCCAATGTTAACATATGATTTTGTGTCTTTTAGGATGATCACTGCCTTTTCTTTTTCAGGCAAAAAAACTTGCTGTAACAACAGTAAGTCAACTTTTGGATGCCAGTGAAGATGTTTTTCAAAGAGCTGCTGATGATAATGATGATGCCCTTAATATGTAAGCACAATTTCAATTTGGAAAGAAAATTTGACAAAGTGCCATTTACTTTCTTAGGTTACATGATACACTGACTTGTCTGTACAATGATAATACCTTTGTTCTACCACTTAATACCTTATAAAAATTTAAAAGTATAAATACCTGTACATCTACATCATAATTTTAGAAAACTGCCTTATATGAGTGAGCTTTTATCTAACCATATATCTGCTCTGCTAGACATTTAGATTGCTTCAAGTCTTTTAATATTATGAATAATCAACTTTCTGTACATAATCATTGTTTACATGACCCATTACTTTCTGAGGAGAAATTTCTACATGTCATTCTCAGTTTCCTAATGATTACAACCAGTACCTATTTAGGATTGAGCCCTGAAAGTGAAAAAAGGACAAAAACATGAAAGGGAGCAATCTAAAGATTACAATTCTGAGACATGGTGGCAGTGGGTATGTAAACAGTTTTACTGGTATATTTTGTGACTTCAGCTTTCAATAGATGTCTGGGCATCTCTCACTGGGAGTGAAGCACCTCTCATTTTCCTTGAAGTGGTAGAAGGAAGTGGCCATGGGATCCAGAGTCTATATTCAGCAAAAATGGAAGTGTGTGTGTGTGTGTGTGTGTGTGTGTGTGTGTGTGTGTGTGTGGTGTGTAAGATGGAGAGAGAGAGAGAGACAGAGAGAGATCCTGATCCTGATATTCAGAACTGGAGGTGTTTGATGACAAAGCTGTGGGAAGAGAAGTTTTGGGATTTGGCTGAGAATCTCACACAGGTCATGATGAAGAGGGACAATTATGAATTTTATGGGCTTGAGGTATAGAAGGAAAAACAATTCTGTATCTTTAAGAAAGTGCTTAGAATACAAATAAAAGTTTTAAATATAAACCATGTTGAACAATAAAATGATACAATCATTTTATCATTTTATCCATCTTTTCTCTCACTAAATTTCTAGTCCATTAATTTTCTGATTATGTTCTGTCAGTTCAACTTGTATTGTGTGATATTCTGTGTCAGCTCTTATGGATTCAGATCCTTCTTTCATTCATTTCTACCTCTGGCTCCAAGGTCAGGTCACCAACCCCTCAGCTCTGTTTAGAGGAACAGAGTCAAGCTCTCTGTATTTGTGAGTTCTGTACAGATGATTCAACAAATTATGGATTGATTCAGAAAAAATTGTACTGAACATGTCCATACTTTTTTCTTGTCATTGTTCAATAAACAGTACATTATAACAAGAATTTATAGCATTTAGATGTCTTTATTACAGCATTGTATTAGGTTTTATATGTAATCTAGAGATAATTTAAAGTATACAAGGGGATGTGGGGTTATATGGTAAGACTGAACCATTTCATATAAGGGACTTGAGCACTGGCAGATTTGGATATCCATAGGCAGGAGGTAGGCAGTGGTGGTGCAGGAATCTCAAGCTGAGATACAAGACACTGAGACAGTTTAGCAGGAAACGTCTTATTTGGCTGGCACAGACACAATGGACTCATGTTCAAAGGCTGAGCCCCTAGAACAAAGGATTCTCACCTTATATACCTTTACAAGCAGGTTACAGAAGCAAAAGGCAAAGCTCAACCCATACATGGTTGCATGTGACTTTATTGGCTATTTTATTTCCCCAGTGCCATGTGACCTTCATGTTTCAATTTTTTAAGTTTTATCTCTCTGTTATGCCATCTCTTACCCCTGTTACATTATCAGAACACAAACTTGTCTGTTTCTTTTCTGGTCTTCCTCCCTGCTACATTATTCCTCACTTTGGTGCTCGGACCCACCTGGGGTCAAAAAGCATCATCTTGATCTAGGGGTTTGTATTTTTATAGCATCATTACATGTGTGGCTGTTTTTGTTTGTTTGTTTTTTAAATAGTGACCTCCATAACAGTCCTGATAGACTGCAATACCAGGGGAACAGCCAGGGTAACATCAAACATGTTCCCAAGATAAGACCCATAGCCCCACTTTTTATGATAAATGTAGCCTGTATGTTTTGTTTTTGTTTTTTTTTTTAACTCTGGGACTTTTAGTATCACTTAACAACTACCTCATAAACCTGGGAAGTATATGAGCCAATGTAACACCTGACCTGTTGGTGGATGTATGATACAAAGTATGGTTGTGTGGAGGTCCCAACAACAGCTCTCTTGTAACATTCAGCACATGGGAGAAAACTTGTAAGGGGCAACCCAAAAGGTAGAGGAGAGTAGAGGTGCGTCCTATGTTTCAGATTCCTCCATGTGTAGACTAGTCGGCTTCTAGAGTGACTAGAGCAGGGCTGTTGTCCCATTGTTCATGGTTCCCTTTTGTCTCTTGTTGAGGAAGGGCGCAGGTGTTGCGAGGGTGATCTTGGATGGTGAGGCTGAGTCAGGGTTGCACTCCCATTCGGGAGAGGCTGGCTTTGCTTGGCTATGTTGGATCTAAGGAGCAATTTTTGTTATTTTAACTGTAGTGAGGACAGACAAGACAACAAAAGGGCCCCTCCAGTGGGGTTTTAATGGATGGACATTTTATTTTTTTACCCAGATAATATCTTTTTTTTTAACTGAATAGAATTACCATGGCAACAATATACTATCAATGTATATGTCTAAGAAAACATGTTGTTTAACAAAGTTAAAACTACCATCTCCAAGTATCAGAGGACATGTTTAGAGCCAGTAAAAATAGTCATTTTGTCTCTAAGTAGAAGACCCTGTCTAAAAACATGAATTTGTGTCTGGAAGGGCTTTAATGTCAGAGAGCCACACATGTGACATTTTAATCGTCTTGGCTTTGGTTATTTTTGAGAGGTCTGGCACGAGTGACTCCATTTGAATTTTGATGGCATTCCCCCCTTGTCTCCAAACTGCTTGTCTCTGAGCTGTCTCCTCTGAAGATCGTTTTTTTTATCCAAGTATTAGCCAGGCCAGATCCTGTTTAGCTTTTGAGATCAGACGAGATCGGATGTGCAGGGTGGTATGGCCATATACAAAGATCTTTTTTGATTGGTTATTGTTTTTCTTTTTATCATGAGGATTTTTAAAATTCTATTTTGGATTTTGTTTGTTTGGTTTTGGTCCCAAGTCAGGGGGGAATTAACGAGCAGATCAGGTGGGAATCAGTGCCAACTAGACCCTTTGGGCCAAATTTAATCAACAAAGAGGCTTCGAAGGAGTGGCTCTTAGGCAGTGGGCTTTTAGACAAGTATAATATAAAACAAAATCCAATAAAAGCAGACATCTAAAAAGTTAACCTGGTTGACACATAAGTACTTAATAGAGTCATTTTTTATGGACTTGATTGTAAATGTCCCAGAAGGACCAGAACTGTAATGACAAAACTGAAAAGAGTCATGCTTAAAATTTTTATGGACAATTTAGCAACTAATAGAACAGTTGTCTGTCCACTAACTATTTGTTATTATATTTATCTAAATTTTGTATTTTAGAAGGCTTGATATACTTGAAAAAATAAGTATATTTAGTATACAGGAACTAGTAACAGCATCATAGCTCTATAGAGGTTATATATACATATTAGTTTAGTTGTTGTTTTTGAAGTAAAACCTTAGATTTTTTTATCAGTTGTGTGTGTGGGAGAACAGTTTTAGTAAACCCAAATAGCCCAAAGACACATATAGGGTATTGATTGCATTAGAATCACCCACAACAGTTGTTTAACCATGAGGTCATCTAGAAAATTTTACATAAACCAACATTTAAATGAACTTTTATTTAGTTATCAGCTAGTTACCTTAATAGTTAAAACCCTGACAAAAATCACCAGAGAGCACAGGTAAATATTTGTGGGGACTAAGTGTGGAGTTAGGAAACCTAATGGCCAAGAATCATGGCTCAGATGTTAATAAGGGATCATACCCCAGATGTTGACATTAACAGATGGCTCATGACATATAGCAGAATCTTATCAACTTGTAGTCAATGGAGAACCACCCCTAAAATAATAGTCCCAATTAGGCCATCTCAGGTCAAAAATTTCCTCTGCCTGACATGTGGAAGGAGTAGGACTAACATCTCCACTTTGTTGACTTTATAAAAACTGGAGGTCTTAACCTCCAGTGTAGTATTCCTTTTTGAGTTTTTACCTTTTATCCTGTCTGAATAAAAAGTAAAAACTGTACTTTGGCTTTGTTTTTTTTTTTTAATTTTGTTTTACATAAGTAAATCTGCCTCAACCCTCATATCAGTGTAGCAGCATTCCCTGTGTTTAGCTGTCTCTTGTTTCTCTGTGTTTTAATAAACTCTTGTTGTTTTGATAAATTTGTGGATTAACCTATAGCACCAAAACTTTTTGACAGTTATCCTGACAAAACAAAAACCACTTTTAAGACAGTTTTTGTAAATGTTATCAAGAACAATATAATATTTTTAAGATAGACCTGTTGTTATGAAGTTAGAGAGTTAAGTTTTAGTTTAACATCAGTACATTAAATTTTGACTTTACAAAACCTTTAATGTAACTGGATTTTAGTTAACTTAATTACTTACATGAGCATTTATAAGCTCTATCTTTTTATGACAAATTATTTTGTATCCCCTAGGGGAGCTTGTCTTTATCTTTTTTTTTAATTTAAAAGTATTTTTTAGTCTTTTATTTTTTAAAACCATATCTTTAATACCATATATATATATATGATATATATGTAACATATATATATGTGTGTTACTTGTTGAAAATAACTCATAAGACCTTTTAACTTAGTGCCTTATATTTGTATCAAAAAAAACCAGAAGGAAAGCAACCTTAAAATTATTTTTTGTATAAAAGTAATTTATAGAAAGCCCATTTGTGATTTATGACAGAATAAAATAAGCTAAGGTTATTTTTAACTACCCAAATTTTAAGATCCTGTTGTAGGCCACGCCTCTCCCCCACCTACTTTTTTCCTTTCTGGTCAGAGTGTTAACCCCGTAATGCCTGTATCCTCCCAAGACCTGATTGAAATAAGTTTGAAAACTGGTTTTCTTAAAAGTAGCAGTAGAACAGAGTAATGATTTTTTTACATTTACTTTATAATAAGAACAATTTTTAAGATGTTTACATATTTATATATAAAAAGCTTCAGCAGTTTATAACAAAGATCTTTAAAATAAACACCCTGGTTTTTTGTTACCTTGAATATCACATTAACCTTATAACAGCAGTTTAAGAACCATTTTGAAGATTCTGACACACACATACCCACACACAAAGTTTTATAAATTAAGCATGCCAGAAAAAAATGTTAACTTGAATGCACATAAGATGAGCTGGAATTCCAGGAGCAAGTTAAATTTTGCCCAATGTAGTAAACAAATTGAAACACACAAAATTAGAGTGCACTCCCAGAAAAACCTTTTTAAATACTAACCAGAGGGCTAACCAGAGGAATGGTGGGTGATGCATCTGTTCTTTTGTGAGTCTCCCTCTTTAGAACTGAATTTTTGTTATCCATCCCTTAACCTCAGTTGCGGCTACTTCCAGCAGAAAACTCAACCTCCCTAATTCCCAGAGTTGTCTCACACACTTTTGCCCCACACCCTAAACCTGAGAGACTTGGTTTTACCCCAGACAGGATTACTTGGGGTTCTCTGGGAGTTGATCAGTCTCCCCTTCTGCCTCCTGAGGCAGGCCTGAATTTGAATCCGTATTCTTGCCAGTCTGACCAGTGATGCTTCTCTCCTCTTGCTGGTTCCTGTGCCTCACTAGGTTCCTGTGCATCTGAGGCCTTCACCCTGACTTGCTGGGAGAATGAGTCCCTCCTCAGGAACAAATGTCTGTTGGCGCCTGGCAGGATCACTCCCGGTAGTCCAGGACACACCCCAGGGACAAGGATGGTGAAAAATCAGTCTCTGCAATCCTGGATGATCCCTCAAGAAATGTTGCAGTAATCTCAAGCTGAGATATGGGACACTGAGGCAGTTTAGAAGGAAGCAACGTTTTATTGTGCCAGCACAGACTCAGTGGACTCGTGTCCAAAAGCTGAGCCCTGACAACAAAGGAGTCTCACCTTATATACCCTTGCAAACAGGTTACTGAAGCAAAAAGCAAAGCTTAACCCATACATGGTTTCATGTGACTTTGTTGGCTATTTTATTCCTCCAGTGCTATGTTATTTTCTTCATGCTCAATTTTTAAAATTTTATCTCTCTGTTATGCCATCCCTTCCCTCTGCTACATTATCAGAACACAAACTCATCTTTTTCTTTTCTGGTCCTCCTCCATGCTACAGTGGGAGGTAGATTCTGGAACCAATTTCCTGTGGAAATGGAGAAATAACTGTACTTTTGATGAGCTGTCTCTCACTCTCCTGTCTCAAAGGGAAGGAGATTAATTGTTGCTCAGGGAAACCCTGACCTAGGTGCAGTGTCTCCTGATGGGCACCAGGCTTCAGTCATCCATCTCACTTTGACTTCTTTATTCTTTCATTTACAGGAACAAAACTCATATCTCAGCTGCTGAGTACTTTTCTATTCCATTTATTTACATGGAGAAGTGAAAGTAAGAAGGGTGGGAGTTAAAAGGAGCGTGATGGGCAGGAAAGACTCCAGCTAATATTCAGCCATCTGAAATTGTAAAGTTCTCTAGCACCTACTCTCCTTTCCTTCACTGGGAGGAGACAGAATGTTAGGTGAACAGAGCTGTGGAGCTGTGGATGGGGTTTTGATGGGTGGGGCATCATAGTACAATTGATGAGTTTAGGACTTCACTTCTCCATTTTGAACTGTACTTACAAAGACTGATCAATAACCTTGGAACTTTACTGTCATGTTAAAGGTCATAATTGCCCTTGTTTGCCTAATTTAGAGTATGCAAAATGTCTCCTTTACACTGCCTACTTTGTGCATATACATTTCACTTTTCTGTTTGCATTTCTGTTCCAGCTAGCCTTTTTTAGTTTCCCACTCAAATTATCTTGATGAAACACTTATTGCAAAGAGATATACAGGATCTCATGAGAACCCAAGCACAGGATGATAACAGAGCCAGACCCTAAGAACCCTGGAGTAGGAAGTTTGTGGTGTCCCCAAGGCAGCTTTGCCATTCTCAGTAGAGAAGTTTATGGATCCTGCCTTATTTTCAAACAGAAAAATTGGCTTCTTATTTTTCATTTGTATTTTACTTGACTTATTTCCTCTAATCATGGCTTTCCTGACATAACTGCCACACTAACTAGATAATTCCTGATTGTATCAAATGGCTTCTTTTTCTTTTTTGTGGGACTGGGGTTTGAACTCATGGCTTTGCACATGTGCTTCACAGCTTGAGTCATGCCTCCAGTCCATTTTGCTCTGGTTATTTTGGAGATAGGGTCTCACAAACTATTTTTCTGGGCTACTCTCAAACTTTGATCCTCCTGACCTCAGTCTCTCAAGTAGCTTGGATTACAGGTATGAGCTACTGGCACCTGGCCAGATGGCTTTTAAAAATCCAGCCTCTGGATTGTATCAGTTATTTGGGGGCCCATATTTTACCCAGTTTAGTTATGACATGAGGAAGGAAAAATCATGTGGGAGGAAAAAAATGGCCTTAGAAGTAGCTGTAAATAGCTCAGACTTTTAAATGTGTTTCCAAAAGTGGTAAGCACCCCCATATAGTTAACACATCTTCACTTTAACCTACAAATACCTCAATGTGTTTCTCTAGATATCACCAGTGTTTCAGTGTTTCTTAGTGGGAATAGATACTCGGTATCAACAGTCACTGCTCAGTGGAATGATATTAGCAGGTTGGAGTTTTGTTATGCATTCCTTCTCTTAAAAGCAGCTGTGAGATCTGATTGTTATTTATTATTAAGTGGGAAATACATAGTATGAATTGCCAAAAACTCATAAAGTCATGTTATGAAAGGAAAACATTGAAACAGAAAAACTGAGGAATGTTTCCATGTGAATGAAGATTTCATTCTCTTTATAAAACATCCTTAACTAATTGAAACTTTCCTTTTCAATGTCTCATTTGGAGGGCTGAAGGAATGGCTCAAGTGGTTGAGTACCTGCCTAGCAAGCATAAGACTGTGAGTTCAAATTCCAGTACCACCAAAAAATAAGTACATAAATAAAATAAAAAATGAAAAAAAATCTCATTTGAAGGAAGAGAACGAATGTTTTAGAAATAATCATTGATGTGGAATGCAGAATACATTTTGATGAAATCCACTTATTCCTTAAAGAACTGAACAGATCATTTTTGTTGTAGAGATTTTATTTTGCCAAGTTCTGAAACAGCAAACACAATTCTATAAGAAACAAGAAAATGAAAATGTCTTATGAATTTTCTTTGGAGAACACCACGTTGACATTTTCTCCCACTCTATCTAATCAATCTCTGAACTTAGCCAAAAGAAAGAACGTTGTGAAACCTGTAGTGTTCATTTGTAGTTGAGGCAGTGAGCTCAGAACTCCACTTTTCCATGTTTCCATCTGAACTTTCATCTCAAGAACGAACAACTTGAAAGAGAGGTTGGACTCTAAGGAGTTCAAGTGAGAGGAGAGAGTTGGATGCATGGAAATCGATTTTACCACTACAGAAACAATAGAAGTTTGTGCCCAGACAATGCTGGATCGTAGTGCCATCCTTCTATGTGAAGAGCACCGTAATAAAAGACTATTTTTGTTAGCAAATCTGTCATCTATGTCCAAGGTACTGTCAATGGGTATTGTCCATCAAAATTTTTTAAGTATATGTATCAAATTAAGACTCTGGTGAAGAGAAGGAATTTTTTTTCCTTTATTGTTGTGCTGGGTGGGGGTACATTGTGGCATTTACAAAAGTTCTTACAATGTATCAAATATATCATACTTGAATTCATCCCCTTCATCACTCTCCTTTATCTCCCCTCCCACCATTCCTAGAATAGTTTCAAGAAGCATCATTTTTGCATTTACATGCATGTTCACACATTTTTTGCACCATATGCACCCTCCTACCCCCTTTCCTCACCATTCCCTCCCTCCCACTGGTACCAACCTCTCCTCCCCTTGCAGGACCTGTTCTGCCCTCCTATTCTCTGATTTTGTAGAATTTATAAAAAGAAAAAAATTGACATTTTTCTGGTTTGAGATAAAGGTAGTTACAAAGGGAATTTCTTTGTGATATTTCCATGTATATATGTATTATAACCCCAATTGGTTTATCTCCTCTAATTTTCTTCATTCTATCTTAATTCCTTTCTTATGGTGGTTTCAGCTGATTTAAGAATTCTATATTCATTCTTGTATAGATAATATATTAACCATGTTCAACTTCTTAGTTTCCTTCTTTTATCCTGCCCATCCTGTATATGACTTCCCCTTAGTGTGACCAGTGTTTCATAACATTGTTGTGTTTGTATTAGGTCTACACTCCACATATGAGACAGAACATGTGGATTTTGGCCTTCTGAGTCTGGCTAACTTCATTTAAGATGATGTACAGAAGCAATTATTTTTAAATGGTAGTTAATATCACTGTGACCATGTGAGTTCTGTGCTTATGCCTCTCTGCTGTAACATAGGAAACAACACACATCTCTGATTTTATTACAAAAATCTCTAGAATTTTAAGTTGTTATATTTCATTCTATACAGGTTGGTTGAACAAATTGAGACTTATTCCTTGTCTTTGAATAATGAGGTAGTGGTGGAACCTAATATAGCAATACAGTCAGTTAATCTACGAAATGCTACAAGTGTTCGCTTCTCTGTGCTAAAAGGTAAGATGTTTGTTTTGTGTTCTTATAACACCAAAACACATTCTGATGTGATTCATAAATAATGCTCTATTCATGAAATGTAGACTTTTTAGCATATATTAATTCTATAAAGGGTTTTCAGTGTGCTATTTCCATACTTGCATATAATGTGCTTTGATCAAATTCACCCCAACATTTTTTTCTTCTCATAGGAACAAGTGATTCTCTAGTTTCTGGCTCAACATCTATAGATAATGTGAACATGCTTAATCCAGATGGACAGACTGAACTTCAGATCTTGCTCAATACTGGGGAAGGTAGATCTCAAACTATGCTACATTTTTATATTACATTTTTTAAAAATGCACTCAAATTCATGGCACTGATAACTTAAAAATCCACTGAGGGAAAAATAATGTCTACTTAGCTTCACAGCTAATGACTTAGTTTGAGTATATTTGGGCTCTGATATATTAATTTCATTTCTACTATTCTAGATAATAGATAGGGATGATATTTTTTGGCTTTTCAAAAACTCTTTGAAGGGTAGCAGAATTGAAATGCTCAGGCCATGTACACAAATATATATTCTTATTGAAATCTTGCTAATGTGGTTCTTTCATTTCTATATTTTGAAAACATTAGCCAGGCAGGCATGGTGGTAGATACCTGTAATCCCAGGACTCTGGAAGCAGAGGCAGGATGATCAGCAGTTCAAAGTCAACCTGGATCATAGTGATATCTTGTCTCAAAAAAACAAACAAAAATATTCAGTCACAAGCTCTGCCCATATTTACTGGTGGTATGACAGTCACAGGCTCAGATTCAGCCTGTAGACCTACTCTTTGAGTGATTTATGCAACTGGAGCAGTTGATTGTCATTTAAGAGTGCCAAATTTAATTTATCCTCCTCTACATGTCACCTTCTCTGGACTCCCTATCATTGCATGTGGCCCTTCAACAATCCCTTTTTGTAAATTGAAAGGACAGTACTCTTTAGAATCTAAATAATACTGTCTAAGGAAATAAATAAAATGAATAAAACACATTTGCCTTTTGTCCCCAAATAAAAAATCTAATGCCCTAAGTGCATATTTTAAAAAGAGTAAAGTCTTTGTATGTTATTGTTAGATTTTTCTCTCCCTTCTGTTTGCTTCAGAAGCACATATACTAACTTTTCTCCCATTTGATTTGAACACCTTTCTGTGTATTTGTTAAACATTCAGGTTTCTTACTTTGTGACTTGTCTACTCAAATACTGTGATCATTTTTCTTTTTCTTTTTTTAAATTTATTTTATTCATATGTGCATACAATGTTTAGATTTCTTTGTTCTTTTATTATGGTCATTAGAAATTCTTTATGAATTCTGGATACCAATTCTTTGTTATCTATTTAAGTTGTAAATATCTTCTCTCTTGTCAATAGTTTTTGTTTATTTGTATTTTGTTTAAATATATAGAAAATATTGAAAATACAGGGAGAATTGACCAAAGCACTAACATAAGGAAAAATTTTAGTGCAACTATCCTGGAACTTAAAGATCAAGTAGACAAAATAACTAATCAAACATGACCTTTGTACTTTTTTGTGTGTATGTATTTTATCTGTAGATAAAGTAGATAATGAAAAGATCTTTTTAAATGTCTGAATACTTAAAAATTTTAATTTATAGTATATAAATGTATTCAATGTGTCAGTCTTTTCCTGTAGAATGGATACTCTGTGCTTTTCTTAAAGAAGTATTTTCCTATCATAAATCATCATAATAGTCTCTTCTTGTAGTGTTTGTGTTCATATTTAGGTCTTCATTGCATCTAGAATTTATTCTTGTGTTTGGCTAATAGTAGGAGTCTACCTTTTATTCTAAATAAACAAGCAATATAGTTCAATAGATTAAAAATTAAGAGAAATAAGTCCAGATTGGACTAAAAGAGACATTTAAAAAATTTACAGATAAAATTGTATGTACTTATTATGTTAAACATGTTTTGAAGTACATATACACTATAAAATGATTAAATCTAATTAATTAACATGTGCATGACATCACATAGTTATCGTTTTTGTTGTTGAGAACACTTTACATTCACTCTTAGCATTTTTTCAATAATATAAAATATTGTCACTATTATAGCTCCTTGGTGTCAGTGCATATATGGTTCCAAGAAGACCTCTGTTGAGAAAAAAACATGAATGTTCAGGATACACAGAATTCAGTATTCTGAAGTTATTCAAATTTACCTATTCTGTGCATACAGCAGATCTGAGTAACTGTAACTTGAAACTACACGGAGTAAGCTTTGTTACTATCACAAAAATTACTGCTGCACACACTAATGCTGCTCGTCAAAAGCTAGATCATGCTCTTTACCTTGAATACTGCTGCTCCTTGATTCATTTTTCCCACAATGCCACCAACTTCCACTAAAGACATGTTGCCTTTCAATGAATCTAAAATTCTTACTTTGTCACTTAAGTTAAGCACATTCCATGCCCTTTGTGACACAGAAGGATTACTATAATTTTTACTTTGTTTTTTGGGGCACCAGGTGCTTTTCTGTGAGGCATATTTTCACAAAATTAAGGGCAGATAACATGCCAGATCACACAACATTTTAAATACAACTGATGAAAACGTGAGACTGCCTGAGAGCTTCTCCATATCAACAGAGTTATGTAATGTGTGTCCACATAAAATTTTTATTTCTGAAATTTCTTTTGATTTTATTCATTTATGTATTTATTTTGACTGTGGTGGGCCAAAACTGTGTGTAATAAATCTGTGAATAAGGTAGGCTTACTGTATAGTCACAATGTAGTAAAAATTTCCTAAGTGAAATTTTGTAACATTTGATATTTCCCTAACTACAGTGATTGTTTGTACATTGTTTTAAAAAAGTAAGTCTCCAAAATACCTATATTTTAATTTTTTGTTCTCTTAAAAAGGCATTGAAATGTATAAGAAGAAAATTAAAAATACAGGGGGAATTGACCAAAACACTAACAAAAGAAAAATTTTAGTACAACTATCCTAGGTCTTAAAGATCAAGTAGACAAAATGCTTTTACATATATATGTATGTGTAATTTTATCTGTAGATAGAAAGCAGATAATGAAAATATCTTTTTAAATGTCTGTGAAGTAGTAAAAAGATGACCATTTATTAGTCACAAAGAAAAGTTTAAACATTTTTAAAAATAAAGGTTACATAAGACATAATGCCATAAAAGCAAACGTTTTCCCAATTAAAAAATTTAATAAACCATTGTTAGAGGTGAAATTGCAGATTTTAAATTACTGGAACATTAATTGAGAAAATTAATGAAAAAAACACATATCAAAACTTTATGTACAAAGGCATTTAGAGAATAATGTATATCATTTAATAAATTTATTAGAAAGTAGAAGAAATTAGAAAAATCTAAGTATTAGCTAAAGATGAATAAAAAATATAATAAATGTAAAGAAAGCTAGAAGGAAGGAATTAATAAATATAATTGTAGAAATTAACAAATGCTAGTCTTGGTCAATAAAATGAAAACTCAGTTCCATCAAAAGACTAATGAAATAAATGACAAAGTTGACAAAGAAGAGAGAGAAACATGAAGAAAGAATATCTAAAAATAGGGAGATTCTGTATATTATAATAGTAAATGTAATTTCTTCTAATGTATCTGAGTGTTTATGAAAATGATGTTTTTTTTAATAAATGGTCTTTGTATTGTAGAATTAAAGAGAGAAGTGTGTAGGGACTCTTATTTTTTTCAATCTATATGCTTCCAAGGATTTGAATTTTATCTCAAGCATGCCATTCTTTTTTTTTTTAATAGAAAGGATGCTTACCATATTTTTAGAATTAACTTTATCATTTTGTGTCCATGAGGAAAATTTGGTGAGCTCAATGTACCATGAAAAAAATTAGAAACCCATGCCTTTCTCTCTAGGTAGAGGCTAGAACAATGACATGGCAGGTAGAGGAGCACAGGGGGACTGTCGGGATTTTGCCTGCTTCTCTCTCAAATTACAAGATTGGATAAGCTGGTTATAAGGCCATGACTTTTCTTCTATCACTTGTGAAAAATAACAGTGTAGGCAATTGTTTAGTTAAAATGTACAGGTACTGTTGTTTGTTCTGCTATTTTCATAGGGCTGATATCTGTAAAAAAGCATTCCTCTACTGGTTCTGTTTGACCACTGAGGTGGCCAGATCCAGTGCAACTCTACAGTCATGACCTTACAGTATCTTTAATGAACAGTTGACTGCTTTTTCCAATGTTCAGAAGAAATGTTTCATAATAGTGTTCTGACCTTGGGATAAGCCCTTGATTGTGAGAAATAGCAGACATGGTGAAGAGTACCTACTAAAAAACTGTGCTGAAAGATCCACTTGCTCTCCATGTTCTGTGACTTAACACAATTGGTCCTATTCCTTTAAATAAGAAGCAGACCTCATGGCAGGAGGGGCTTCCTAGGCACAGCCATCTTGATAGTCACCCATGTTTTTGTCCCTTGTCTTAAGAGTGAAGGAATCCAGATAGGCTGGGACTACCTACATGTTCCTCTGTCTTGCTGCATAGAAACCAAGATGTTTATACATGAACTGGACATGGCAGGACACACCTGTAATTCCAGCACTAGGGAGGCTAATGCAGGAAGATTACAAATTTGAAGCCAGCCTGAGCTACGTAGTGAATTTGTGGCCAACCTGAGCTATATAGTAAAACCCTGTTTCAAAAAACAAACAAAAAATGTTTACACATGAGATCTCCACAATACCTCCTTAACGTAGACCAGGCAGATATTGTTGCTCCCATATGGAAGATAAGGAAACAAAATCTCTACAATCATCAACAATTGGTGATACATGTTAATTACTCTGAAGATATAGAATGGCAAATAAACAACTAAAACCCAGGCTCAGTTTCTTCTATTACAGTCTCACAACACAGATCTACCTCAGATGTGTAGAGCTTTTCCCCATATACCAAGTGAGCAGTCATTTCTGCAGTGGACACCAGGGTGTGACCCTTAATTTCATTCAATCCTGACACCATCTACCTGGACATAGAGTCAGATCCCAAGTTTGAGGACTCAGTCCTCAAGACTGCCCCACCCCCCCCCCCTTAGCTGCCAGTTGTAAGCCTCAGATTGTTTTATCTGTGCTTCTGATTGACTAGTTATAAATCGGGGTTGCCATACCCTCTGCATGGGTTTCATTAATTTGCTTTAGCACCTCCCAGATCCCAGGGAAACATATACTGGTTTATTATAAAGGACATTAGAAAGAACACAGGTGAAGAGATGTATATAAGGCAAGGTGGTGTGAGTGAAAGGATACAGAGGTTCCATGTTCTCCCTGGGCTCACTACCCTCTAGGAATCTCCAGTGCTCTCTAAATGCTGTCCTTCGGGTTTCATGGAGAGTTCATTGCATAGAAGTGATTGAAGCATGGGCAGCCATGTAAAAATGTGATAACACAAACAGTATGATCTAATGCTAATAGAACGAGTGTGCCTGTCTTTTCACATTCATCTTTTTTGATCCTCTGTATAACATTTCTTCCTCTGGGTGTGGGACAAGCTCTTTTGAAATGGGTGTTTTATGATCAGGTAGGTCAGAAAATTTCTTGATGGCCAGCTTCTGTAAGTCATCTTTAGAGGAGAAATTCTATGGCCTAGAATTTCTATGGCCAGCCTTAGGTAAGTTGATGAGCCATCAACCATGGATGACAACAAAAATATGCATACTGTAATATTACAATTACCATATTGTAATTAAGTAAAAGTTCTGCTAGCAAACCATTTTTACTGCATTAAAAATGTTAGGCAGCCATGCAGTTCGACAATGACATGGAACTTTGTTTGTTGTTGACTCCAGGGCTTATTTATTGAACTTAGTGTCTTTTCTCTCCAAGGTAACTCTACATCATGTGGCTTTGTAGTGTATCAAAACAACAAGCTTTTCCAGTCTAAAAGTTTTGCAGCGAAATCAAATTTTAGTCAAAAAATTATTTCAGGAAAAGTGAGTGAAAATGAGAAAGATACCTCTGTTAAAATGGTCTTTAATCCAAGGGTGAGTTTTTCTATTAACAGACATAAAATATTCTGACCACTCTTTTTTTTTTTTTTAACAAAAGTCGAGATAATTTGGATAAAGGAAATCCATAGAAAATCTCTTTGAAGTTTCTTTGAAGTAGTCATTTAAATCTTTTTCCTGTCCATATCTTCTATCAAACTAAGTACAAAATAACCATTTGAATTTAAAAAAAAACTTTTTATGATATAAATCTTTAAATTTTTTTTGTTATTGTTGTGTGGGAAGTATCCTTTTTATTTCCTCATTCTATAATGAAGGTGCTAATGTTTGATATGTATTTAACTGATTTCTCTTGTGACTATCTTATCCTGTTCGGTTTTATTCTATCCAATTAAGCATTAAAATATCAGTAACTGTAATTCTCTTTAACAATTTACAGTACAATCAAAGAGAATTCCAACTTTATTCCTATGCCTGTGTCTACTGGAATGTTTCAACAAAGGATTGGGACACCTATGGCTGTTATAAAGACACGAGCATTGACGGATTCCTGGGCTGCTACTGCAACCATACGACTAACTTTGCTGTACTAATGGTAAGGTTACAGTGAACTCTTTCCAGACAAGAATTTTCCTTATGCACAAATTTAGTGTGTGCTAATTGGAGGTAACTTTAGGGTTTTGTTTACATAGGTTCTCAATTCAGGAGTATTAGCACTGAAAAAGGAAGAACTGGTAAAGGCAGATAGTGTAACACTTTTTGCAATATGGTCTTAAGATAGAGTAATTCAGCACTTCATTTTTAATAATGAAAAGGGAGCCTATGTGTGAAAGGGGAGCTGATAAACTCTGTTTGGCTAACTCACTAAAGTATGAAGATGTTATGGTCAGAGGTAAGCCTGTATCACTGTGGAATGTCAATACCTACTTAGCTAATATGGACAGTTTAAATTAGTTACCTAAAGCTTTTTCCACTGGATTTGTCAAAGTTATGAAGTTTTTGCTAGGAAAATTAGTTCAATTTGTCCCATAGTTCGTCGTGTATTCCTTAAACCTTTTACTCCAGTGAGAACTTGTATAGGTAACTGCTAACACTCAGTTCTAGTTTACCTCTGAAAGTTCTTGGACTATTCCTTTTGAGAAGAGCCTTCTGTAAGTGTCATTTCCAGAAACTGTTCTGCTGAAATGAGAATGTTACCTTTGATATAAAATGGAATGGGGAGGGGTATTGAATGCCTCTGCCATTAATGGCTCTTAGTGCTCTCAATCTCCCAAGAAGCAGACGTTTTCCTTCCATAGTAGGTGTGAGGTAGCCATATGAAGATGGAGAGCAGTAGAACATAACACAGCATACATTATCGAAGAACAGAATGTTGTTGAAAACCTTTGGAGATGACTATAATTTTTTAAATCATTTTAATAATTAACACTCTTATTTTAATTGACTTTTGTTACTTCTTTTCTAACTTATTTTCCAGAGAAATCTGCTTTCTCCATCAGAAAATATTGCAGATAAAAATTTAGCTTTCCTGTTATCATAAAGTAATAGTATCATTGATCTGTTGTGTATTGTTCAGGTTGCCATGCATATTTAATGATACAGAATACTTTGTCATAGTTATTCTTTTTTGAGATCAGACTTCACCTATTTCTTCTCAATTATATCTGCCTCAGTGCCTACCTACATATAGTTGTAATTATTTGGGGCTTGTGAAGTTTTTTCTTTAATGACTGATTAGAGTCATAATCTAAGATTAGAGCAGATGGGCTACAAATGGACAGAAGGTTTCTAAGATCTGAAGATTTACGCAGGCTGTGATTCTTTGTGCATCTACTTAGTAAACCGCACACAAACAATAACCTGAAACTTTTGTATTATTATTTTTTCAAATCAAGTTTATTTTTTATTTCCTTCCTACAAAAGTAATACATACTCATATACAGTATAAAAGGTTGCCTAGTAAATAGAATTATAGTGACATGCAAAAATGTATATTATAGCTTAAAATTGCAATTCAAGTACAATCCAATAATGTTAATAAGCACCTATATTTTTGTATAAGAGACATATAAATAAAACACACTTTAAATAGGACACTTCTGGAGAACAGATACAATTCCCAGAGGAGGGTATCGTGTGGAGTAGCTGGCAGCAAAGATGAACACAGTTTTTCTTATGCTTTTATATTAGCTTCATATTATATAATATGAAAAGCATAATTACTTTTCAAATCTTAACAACTTAAAAAATCAGAAAGTACAGATAAGCAAAAAGAATTATATCTATTCTGCCCACCCAGTGATCATCCTAACTAGTTCACCAGGTTCCTAAGAGTACCTATGTAGATAGAATATACTTTTCTAGGCATATTTACTAATATGTTGGGATAGATATAGCTATACAACAAAAAGACAAGAGCTTTTAAAAAATTAACAGGATTAACCTCCTTCCATATTTCTGAATATTTTTGCAATTTTATCTCTTAGATTTGCTTGGATTATAAAAACTCATAAAATGATATAATGGATAGATAAAGCAACTCTATCCAATTTAGATCTCATCAAAACAATTTAGGCTTTAGATATTAAAGAAGAATATGTATATATTTTTTCTAATTGAATTAGATCAATTGTTCTCAAGCTTCTGCTTCACGTGAACTACTTAGAGATAAGGGAATAATGTGTTTCATTAAAAAATATATCATCAATCTGGAAGTGGCAGTTCATGCCTTTAATCCCAGCTACTGGGGAGGATTGCAAGTTCGAGATGAGACTCTGTCTCAAGAAAACAAAAGAGTGTTGGAATGAGGTTGCAGGTTCAGCCCCTCCCTCAGATCATGTATATGTCAAAGGCTCAGTAAAAGGAGAACACAGTTAGCATCTATCTGGTTATTTTGACCAATAGAACTCTTTATGATGTTGACTTATACTGACAGGAATGATTATTTTAAAAATATGAATGGACTTATTTTTCAGAGTTTCAAAAAGGATTATCAGTATCCAGAATCACTAGACAGATTATCCACCCTGGGATGTGCCCTTTCCATTGCTGGTCTGGCTCTGACCATCATATTTCAGATTGCTACCAGGTAAAAAGGGGAAGGAGGTGCTTCTCATAAAGTATTCCTATTGAAAATTTTTTCATACTGTTTTATTTTAAAAAGTTAAAGGCCTACAGAAAAGTTGAAAGAGAATGCTGACATCCATACAGACCACATCTTGATTCAGTAATTTTTAATATTTCATTAGTTTTTCTATTTTTTTCCTGAAAATTTGAAATTGTGTACATCATGACTGTCATCTTTAATTTCTTCAAACATTTATCTCCTAAGAGCAACGGCATTCTCGTATAAAGCATAGTGCCATTTTCCCCAGTGAGGAAAGTTGACCCAAGAAATTGAACATTTATGTAACATTGCCATGTTAATACAAAATCCATAATGGAATATCTCCAATTGTTCCAATAATATCCATTAAACTGGTTTTTTTCTCAATTCATTTAAATTCATTTAACATATACTGAAAGTTTTTTTCCTTCTAGTTTTGGTTTTGTTTGCTTTTGTACTACTGGGATTTGAATTCCTGGCCTTGCATTTGCTAAGCAGGTGTTCTACCTCTTGAGCCTCACCTCCACATTTCTTTTGGTTTTAAAAGAAGTTAAAACTTTATTGTTAGCATAAAAGTATCATTACTTTCATGCATAAGCATTATTGTGTCTCACGTATGTATCAGTTCCAACTTTCTGTTAGCTAAATCAAAGCACAGGTTAGGCCTGCAGGGGGGAATGGGGTACACAGGTCATAAATACTGGGAATAAGGACTCACTGGATGCTGTTTTGGAGATTAGCAATACCTTTTGATCAGAATGTTGTTTCAAGAATGGATACCTCAGCCTGTTTCCTGTGACTGACTGTTTTGTAGAAATGAGGTAATAGCAAAGTATGTTTCTCTGATGTAAGTGGGAGGAAGGTAGATTCACACCAGGCCTACTGGGTTATGAGCTGGATTTACACTGTGCAATAACATTCCTTTATTCTCTTACATTTAATTGGTGTTCAGTGTTTGCAGTTTCTTTGTTTTCATTTAGTTATTTGTGTTTACTTATTTATTTTCAGGAAAGTCAGAAAAACCTCAGTAACCTGGGTGTTGGTCAGTCTGTGCATATCAATGTTGATTTTCAACCTCCTTTTTGTGTTTGGAATTGAAAATTCCAATAAGGACTTGAAGACAAGTGATAGTGGCACTGACACTGACTTTGGCAAAAATGAAATGCTCACAAGTGATATCATTGACACCCCAAATCCCAAGTGCACTGCGATCGCTGCCTTGCTGCACTATTTTCTGTTAGTGACGTTTACCTGGAATGGACTCAATGCTACGCAGCTCTATTTCCTTCTAATTAGGACCATGAAGCCTCTTCCTCGACATTTCATTCTTTTCATCTCATTAATTGGATGGGGTAAGTGTTTGCATTTTCACCTGCTCAGGAATTTAATCTTGTCACAATCATTTAATTTAAGCAAACACCTGCTAAAGGTCTAAACGTACAAAGCCTTGAGGTAGGAGTAGAAAATGGAGAGATCACTAAGAATGCTTTCTGTTCAGGAGCTTATATTCGTGAAGGAGGCATATATGATCAAGGCAGGTATACCAGATAACTTAAAGATTATAAGCTAATAAACTTAAAGATGCTAATTTTAAAAACATCTTTATTATTGATTTATTTGAGACTTACACCATAAATAATTAACCTTCCTGATACTTTAAAAGACATGTTACAAAAAAGACAATCAGGGTGACTGTTTAAGAAAAAATCTTGAAAATTGTACTGGGTTCCAACAAAGGAGAAAAGAAGAATTGTCTTAGTGATATCAAAATTTAAATTTATCTAAGTGATAGATGTATTCAGACATTTTAGTATGGAAATTGTGATAAAAGATACAAAGAAATAAGAAATAGTATAGGATTGGTATATAGAACCAATTCAAAAAGGGGAAAGAAAACAAAAAAATTCCATCTTCTGTTGACCTATCTCTGTGAATCCATTGGTATATTGTCCATAGAGGAAAGAACAATATATCTGAAAGGGGTCAGAGGTATAATTCATTCATGGTCTTTTATAATTGATCCCAGTCTTGGATGAATAATTAATGCTGTACCTCTCTTTATCACATAGGAGTCCCTGCTATAGTAGTTGGTGTAACAGTGGGAATTATTTATGCTCAGAGTGGGAATAATTGGGAGTTAGACTACCGGCAAGAGGAAATGTAAGTTTATATTTTTTTAAATATACATTTCTTTGAGATAAGAGTGAAACTATTCAGTGATATTGAATCTAAATGTCACTGTACATATGCATATCACTTTATAATTATCATATTTAGTGGCGTATATTTCAAGTTCTCAAAAAACACATTATTTAGATGTGGTGATATAGAAATTTCCTATGATAAAGCTTTCTGAAAAGTAAGTAACTACCTTCTAACTTTATAAATCTGAACTTTCTTCTATTTCTTCTATTTACTTTCTTTTACTAAGTCTGAAAATCATATGGCACAATAGTTATGATCTTTAGTAAACCCATGACTTATTTCCTTCATGTAGAAAGTAAAAGCCACAATAATAGTGAAAACAATTAATAACTTAAAAAAGCACCATTCATGCCTCACTTTGAAGAACCAATTCTATGTTGACATGATTATAATTAATATTTCGTGGTGATTTAGCACACATAACAAATGATTCCTATGACTCTGGCATGAATAATTAACTGTTAACAATGGAAGTACCTGACTGTGTAGTGTTTGGTTTTTTTATACAGAGGGAGGGAGAGAAGAAAACTGAGTTGAACTGAGGCTCAATTCTTTACATGTATTTCTACTTCCAAAGAGCAACTATAATTTATCCTTCATGCTCATTTTATAAATCCAACCATTCTTATCCCTGGATTCTACCTTAATTTTCAACAATCAAATTAAAACCAAACTCTGGAAAGGGTATTAGTGCTCCCAGGGGAAGGCTGTGGCATTGGAGTGGGGAATCTTTCCTGACCATTCTAAGTGGCTACCTGGCTGGATTTCATACTCTCAGATTCTATTTTCTCTCTGCTATCATTAAGTATCTTTTTGAATTAAAAATCTTTAATTCCACAATTAGAAACAATGGATAGTATGTAAATATCTCACAGGAGAAAAAAATTCACTTCCAATTGCATTGCTGATATTCTGCTTTAGCCTAGGCACAGAGCTAGAACTACTCCTATAAAAGCCTTCAGGAGAAGACAGGTATGGTGGTACATGCTTGTAATCCCAGCTACTGAGGAGGTGGAGGTAGGAGGATCGCAAATTTGAGGTCAGCCGGAGCAAAGGTAGCAACAAGATGTTGTCTCAAAAATAAAATAAATTTAAAAAAATAAAACCAAAAGGGCCAGGGCATGGCTCAAGTGGTAAAACACTTCCATAGCATGCACAAAGCCCTAGGTTCAATCTCAAGCACCAGGTAGGGGAAAACCCTTCAGGAGAAAGAAGCCAACTGACTTAAATTTACTCACCCCGAGCTGTCAAGAATTAATACCAGATCTTTTCCTGTTGGGAAAGACATGAGGCTACTAATGATAGAGGATGGAGACAGAAGAATGTACAACTCCATTACCCACCTCAACTCAGGCACCTGTCCTTCTACTTTCCACCCCACACAATCTATCCAGGGCTGTCTTGAGAAACATCAAGGATTGTTTTGGTTTTCCTGACTTACTGTCCCAGTAGTTGCTCTTCAATATCCTGTGTTCTCCTCCACTGCCCTCAGAGGCTCTGTTCCTCCTCCCTGACAGCTCTGACTCAGTTCTCTGGCCCACTGTCCTCTCTGTAGACCCAGTTAAGAAGTGAATGGAGAGCAGGTCATGCTCCTCTTAATTTTCTACCCCCAGTTCTCTGTGCCACTCCCAGACAGGCTCTTACAGATTTTCCTGACAAGTTGAAGTTAACCTTGGGGTTAAATTTTCAATGTTAAAACTATTTTTCCCCACATCCCATGGCAAAATCACCAACGCATATAACATTTCCTCTGAGGTCTATCCACGATGCTCCCTAGATTTCAGTTCCTTAGCTGTGTTTCAGATGAACCTACAGCCTGAGACTCCATAACTACAAGGGTCAATCTCACTGTGGGAACCATCCTCTTCCTCAGCAATCTATTTCTCAAGACCTAATTCATTCAATTCAGATTAACAAAGAGAGGAAGTTTTGTGAGAACAATCTAGCATGACTGCTTCTTACTCTGAGTAGTGGAAAGGATAGCAGGGGTGAGGGTCCCCTTCTAATACACCTCCTGATGGACATGGGTACCAATGTGCATCTCCCTTACAGATGTCCCCAACAGTGTGAAGTCACTAAAAAGCCTTACAAACATTTGTGTCAGTGTACACACACACACACACACACACACACACACACACACACAATAGTACAAATAGTAACTTTTAGAACTTGTATTTTCTAAAGTTTAAAATAGCTCTAAAATGACATAAGTATTTGTTGAATTGTTTCATGATTAGAAAGCTTGTCTTTATAAAATAGAGTGTAGAGAATTCCAAGATGGCAACTAGAGGGAGGAAGCAGAAAGCGAGCCTCCTATAGTGAAATCTTGGAGAGACACTGGAGACACACCTTGCAGGCAAAACCACCCAGAAAAGGCAAAACTTTGACCCATCCACACCTCCAGCCAGCGCAGAGAATCTCCACTTCACGTTAAATGGAAAAACCAGGAGTGCCCCCCGGCCACCAGTCACCCATGCCCAAATGGCTTGGGAAGACGTGGACAAGGTGAGCTAAGTGGTACGCAGTACTTCCACAGACAACCCTGGGCCAGATCAGCATAGCTCCCTGGACAGACTGACCCCCACCCAGGGAAAAAAGAGAAACTGAGTAATAAGCAATAAGAACAGTAAAGACACATTGCAAAGAGGGTGGGACACACTGAGCACAGAAGAAGAGGAGAGAGGAATCCTTCCTAGAACTGTAAATAAACAAGCCGGGCCTGGCCAGAGAGGCTCCGGTGGGAGCGTGGATGTGTGCCTAGCAACCAGGAACGGGAAAGCTTGCGAGAATGGTGGAGGGAGGAAAACTCCACAGGAGAGGGGGGAAGATCCACCTCCCACGTGAGCTGTAAACAAACATGCCAGCCAGCAGGGGCAGCAGGGCACACCCATCAAGCAGGAGCAGGAAAGCTTGTAAAAGCAGCGGTGGGAGGAAAACTCCACAGGAGAGGGGGGAGGACCCACTTCCCACGTGAACTGTAAATAAACACACAGGCCTGAGAAAGCGGGTGCAGTGTCACCTGCCCCAGTGTGCTTGGAAAGGGGAAAGCTTGTAGCAGTGGCTCGCACACAGGAGAACTCTGAGTAAACAAAGCCTGCGAGGCCAAGTGAGTGCTAAGCTCACCCCTGAGTACTGCATAAATAATGCCTCCAGCAACAGCAGGCTGACAGCAGCGGGCAGGCAAGCCACAGCCGCAGATAGCCCTTCACAGACTTGTCTCCAGACTCTTTTTTTTCTCTCTCCCTACCTTTGATGAGAAAACAACTGAACTATACCTGCATGCTGAAAAACTTACTGAAACTGTATTGCATTTGAACTTGGGACACTGTGAGTTTTGTGTGTGTGTGTGCAGTTTTGTTCTACTTTATGCATCCCCTTTGATGAGACAACTACAGAACGATATCTGAGGCACCATCTTCAGGATTGGAGACTGAGATGGACACCAAAATTATTAAGACTGAAACTTCATTGCATTTGAACTTGGAGGTTTTTTTTTCTTCTATTTTTCATTTTGTTTTATTTTACTTTATTTTTATATATATATTTTCTTTCATTTACTCATTTTTTATTTTTATTCTTATCTTTATTCATTTTATTTTTTATTTTCAATCCTCTCTCTGTCTCTCTAATGCCTGTTCAGCTTACGGTTGATTAGTACACTGTCTCTCTGTTTTATATCTTTGAAACTTTTTTGTTTTTTTTCTTTCTACTTGATATTTGTTTTTCCCTTTTCCCTTAACTTCTTTGCTTTCCATCCCCTCTCACCCTTCCATTCTAAATATCACTAGTGCTATTATTATAAGACAGAAAATACTTAATTGCACACTGTACAGGGACAATAAACACACCAGGGCAAATGATGGGGAAGACAGAAAAAACAGGGAAACCAGTTTCCCCAAAGCAAAAAATTAGTATGGGAACCAGAGGGAAATGAAGAAAACAGATACTAAGATCCAGACTCCAACAACTGAAGATATACTATGCCAAAGAACCCAATGAAGCCCACAAGAGTCATTTAAAAGAAGACATACTACAGGTACTCAATGAGAATTTTATAGAGGTGATACTGGATAGGGTCAACACCAAAATGTTCAGGAACATAAATTACCAAGACAACAAAAATAGAGAATTTGAAAAAGCAAAAGAAGAAATAAAGGAAACCATAGAAGCACTGTATAAACACCAAAGTGAAACAGAGAACAAGATTAATAAACAGATAAATGAACTCTGCAGACTTCTCAACAGAAACATTAAAAGCAAGAAGAGCATGGGGTGAGATCTTCCGGGCACTGAATGAAAATAACTTCAACCCCAGGATACTCTACCCAGCAAAACTATCATTCAAAATAGATGGAGCAATAAAAGTCTTCCATGATAAGCACAAACTAAAACAATATGTGACCACAAAGCCACCACTACAAAAGATTCTTCAAGGGATTCTGCAAACAGAAGTGAAACCCAACTTAACCATGAAAAGACAGGCAGCACCAAACCACAGGAAAAGAAAAAGCAAGAAAGTAGAGAATAACCCTAACTTAGGTACACACAATCAAACCTTCAAACAACTACGACAACTAAATGACAGGAATCACCACATACTTATCAGTAATAACACTTAATGTTAACGGACTTAACTCATCCATCAAAAGGCACTGTTGACAAATGGATTAAAAAGGAAGATCCAACAATTTTTTGCTTACAGGAGACCCATCTCACCGACAGAAATAAGCATAGGCTTAGGATGAAAGGCTGGAAGAAGATTTACCAAGCCAATGGCCCCCAAAACAGGCAGGAGTAGCAATACTTATCTCTGACAAAGTAGACTTCAAACCTACATTGATCAAAAGATAAAGAGGACATTCTATACTAATAAAAGGGGAAATAGACCAAAAGGAAATAATAATTATCAACCTATATGCACCCAATGTCAATGCACACAATTTCATCAAACA